AACGCAAATTCTGTATCATCTTCGATTTACTGTTATTCCAGGTATCAGTGTAGAAAAGTTGCTCTGTGATGTTGAAAGCAGTAGCTCGTATAAAGGTGAAGCGGTGGAAATTAAACAAAAGTGAAACGCTCTTTGAAGAAATGTGTAGGACACTGTGATGTCTGTAAGAGAAACTGAAACTGCTAACGCGCAAAAATACGATGTGTCTGGGTCAACAACAGGCGTGCACCGCATATCAGTTTACGGTTCGGCAAAACAGAAAAAAAACCACTGTATAAACTGTATTCAAGAGGAGCTTTAAATTAAAACTACTTTAAATCTGCATCAAATGATTTGAGCGATGCAAATTATGAGATTACTTTTTCCAAATAAATGAAAGTCTCAAGAAAGGAAAGAAGAAAGGACAAAGAGAGCGAGGCGATACTGCATGAAATAAGCAGTATATGGTTATATGTAAGCAAACGAAAACACAAACACTTATAAATTTGTTCCACAGCCCGAAGCGGAAGAGGCAAAAACATTTGAGATAACAAAAACTTCGAACAGCTGGTACGCACGTACTGTCGATGAAACGTATGGGCAGATAACCTTAGGACAAGAGGAATAGGCACAGTGGTACCTGACATTTGGCTACATTTCGTATAAAATCTAAAACTTCATACTGATGGTCCTGGGAATTTAGGGGACAGAAAAAAGAACACTGAGCATCATGTACCTCCAGTTCCTCATACATCGCTCCAGGATTCCACTGCTCGTCTTCTTTTTTCAGAAATATATGACGATTATCCTAAAAACAAAATTATAGCAAAGGTTATAATGCACATAAAACGTACGCAGACGCTTTCAGTAAAAAAAAAGCAATCACAAAAAATAGCTTTCGTGAGATACTGTGTCGTAACGGTACACTACTGCGCACTGGTCATTAGAGGGATGAACGGTGCGTGAGATCAGCTGCTCCCGTCCTGGCTGTTTTAGATGCATGAGTGAACCGAAGTTTTTGATTCAGCGTGTATTTGAGCTCAACGCACCAGTACGTGTGGGAGCGGACGTAAGGCAACGAAAGGGAAGAGAGGTCAAAATCCGAGAT